AACGCAATAAACCGGAGCTTGGCTACTCAACAAAAACACACTGGCGCCTGGAAACTCAACAAAGCGATAAATTGGAGCCTGGATACTCAATGAAAACACACCGGAGTCTGAACACTCAACGAAGCGATAAACCGGAGCCTGGATACTCGAAGAAAACACACTGGAGTCTGAATACTCGACGAAGCGATAAACCGGAGCCTGGATACTCAACGAAAACACACCGGAGTCTGAACACTCAACGAAGCGATAAACCGGATCCTGGATACTCAACGAAGCTACACCGTAGTCTGGATACTCAATGAAAACACACCGGAGCCTGAACAGTCAACGAAGCAAACAAATCGGAGCCTGGATACTCGACAAAAACCATATCGGAGCCTGAACACTCAATGAAGCAAACAAATTGGAGCCTGGACGCTTGACGAAAACACACCTGAGGCTGGAAACTCAACGAAGCGATAAACCGGAGCCTGGATACTCGACAAAGCGACAAATCGGAGCCTGGACACTCAACGAAGCAACAAACCGGAGCCTGGACACTCAACGAAGCAACAAATCGGAGCCTGGATACTCGACAAAAACACACCAGAGTCCGAACACTCGACGAAGCGATAAACCGAATGAAGAAGAGAATACCACAAATACATATCAAGATCACATCACAAGGTCTTTACGGGAGTCCGGATACTCGACGGGAGAAAGAATCAATACAAACTGGAGATTTACCGGAGCCTGGGTACTCGACGAAATAGCCACGAACACAAATAAGGGTCTGGACCCCCACTTGATTTTACCGGAGTCTGAACACTCAACGACTCAAGTAAACACATCACGAGTTGGAAAAATGTCGGAGCCTGAACACTCAACGAATGAAGGAATACATCACAGATTTACTCGTCGGGGTCTGAATACCATTTGAACTTAACACAAACAACTGAAGTTCGACGATGCCGCCGGGGAACAACGAGAGCCAGGGTCTGGATACTTCTCGGGCTACAAAGAAGACATACCACTAGTTTCTATGAGCAATGAGTCAATCACCACCTGCCGTGGTCTGGATACCATCCGAGTAGAAAGAACCTTCTCACTATACCGGAGTCTGAATACTCAACGTACTGACCAGAGCCTGAGTGCTCGATGTAAACTGGTGTCTGAGTACTACAGCTCCGTGCTGGGGAGAAGAACTCTGAACAACTTTGGAAGATACGATCCTAACTCTACTGAGGGGCATACTAACAAATCTGGAGTTACAAATTTTACTGGAGATGAACAAGTCTCTTCTGGTGATGAACAACTCTTGTTGAGGGACGGGGTAAAGGTCCTGCATGACCTCCCTGGAACACATCTTACACTGTTGGGGTCACGAGCAACCTGCTGGAGGATATTCCACATATGCCTGGTGGAGAGAAATCTGATCTCGACTCGCTGGGGAACAAACCCATACTCGTACTCTGTGAGGATTAGGGGTACGCCTGACCAACTCCTTGGGGTAGAGACGCAACTTCCATCTGCTAGGGAATGATCTTCGATTGTTGGAAAAACGGGCTTCATCCAAATCTCTCTAAGAATTTGCCCTAAGCGTAATGCCCCTGCCCCAGTCTGCTTTTTGGGAAGGTCTACGCACTAGTGGAAAAAAGGCTTTTTAAGTCTGTTAAAAATGACTTTTTAAGTCGGGTCCGAGCCCGACCTAAGAATTACCGACATAAGAAGTTTTGACTTCTTAAGTCGGTTGTGGACCTGACTTAACAAACTATTATTAGGTCGGTTAGACAGAACCCGACTTAATAAGTCTAACCTGCATAAACCATTTATACCCGACCTAAGAACTTACTTTCTTAAATCAGGTATAATAAACCGACCTAAGAAGTTATTGTTTTTTTTAATATATAAATATATAAATATAAATATAAATATAAATATAAATATAAATATAAATATATATATATATATATATATATATATATATATATATATATATATATATATATATATTAAAGAATTGGTTAATAATCAAAATATTTTAAAGATTGGAAGGTTGGAAGTTCATAACAATGTAAAGCCAGTATTGCTAAATTTAGTTTATTAACCAAATTAACAGTTTTTACAAATTGCAAGTTGTATCCGAAATTTACAGCTTGGAAACGCGACTCAATTATGAAAATTTCTAAAGCTAAGTTGTTACATGAGGAACAAGCCATTACGTAAATCCTACGAAATCCATAGAAACACAAGCGACCATATGTTTGAATAGGCTTTTCGCATTGAAGCAGTCCCAAGGACTCCGCCGAGCGAAATACATGTTGCTATGGTGCTTGGTATATCTCTCAGTGATCACCTACATTTGAACAAACAATGAAGATTCAGTAACTATGGTGCTTGGTATATCTCGTGGTAATCACCTACATTTGAACAAACAATGAAGATTCAATAACAACTGACGACAGACGATATCAGAATGCCAAACCAATTGAAAGAAAAAAATCAATGGCAATTGTTTTCTCACTTATTCATGACAGGAATCATTTGCTTACCGCCAAATTTCAGAACCTAAAATTCATTTGATTTGCAACCTTCACGACAATAAGGGATCAAGGCATCATTCATACTTAGAATGTACCTTCCACCAGGATAAACCGAAACCATCCACGAAACAAGTTTTGAAGAAAGCTCCTGCATAATTTCTGAGAAGATCGAGCCGTATCTCGAGTTGAGAACGGAATCTTACTCTTGACAACCATCATTATCCTGCAATAAGCACATTGGTTTGATAAGTTTTCAAATCGTTTCAAAAATTGTAAAGACAAAAAGAAAACATCAAGAACAACACGTGTACAAAAGGAAATATATTCCTGTATATCCTGCAACAACAAAGACCCAACATAAGAAATATATTCCTTACTTCAAACAAATTTTCACAACCAGACACATCATTCCCGCTCATACCATCCATAGCAAGATGCATAGGAGTTCTATGAAGAAGTTATGAAAATAATCTAATATCAGCTTATGAACATGTTAAAAACAGTTTTCATAAACCAAATCGAAAAGTCTCATGAGTGTTAATTCCTGGAAATAAACTCAACTAAATCAATTCAAATAATGCTCAAATGATCAAAACAGTTAACGAAATTACCTCCGGAAACCGCAGGTGCCCGTGCTGAGCTCTCGAAGATTTGTAGGATTTTGACTCTTTCATTCATAATGTTCTACAAGTTCCATAGAAGTCTCGTGTGCTGCTACCAGGATACCGAAATCCAATCCAGAATCACTGTTTGTGTCAAACCATTAGGGACTGTTACATCACTATTTTAGAGTTTTATTCCTCCATTTTGATGATACATCTGATTGACTCCCCTTTCAACATGTAATCAAAAGCTTTGTTAATCTCTGAAAGTGGTATTGTGTGAGTTATGAATTTCTCCAGTTCCAGCTCCTGCAGTAAGTATTCACAGTAACATCACATTAATAACACAAATAGCTTATCATTCTACAATATTTATCAATTAATCCTCCTAAAGCAGTGTATATTCCAACATGTATAAATAATTACCCCTTTCATGTACTTCTCTACAATATTAGGAAGATCTGTGCGGGGTTTGAAGTTTCCGTAGAAGGTCCCCTTCAGAGTCCTTTCACTTAAGAAATTTATAGGATGAGTTTTGAAGGCATCGTCTTTGTTGGTAATTCCAACAAGTACAACAACACCCCAACCCTAATAACAACAGATCAAGGTTCAGCTTTAGCCTTATTAAGATTTATAGTAATTTCTTTAGCAACAAGGAAGAGTAAAAGAATTTTGTTTTGCATACATCATGGACACATTCAAATGCTGAGATCATGGCCTGGATGTTACCAGTACAATCAACAACACGGTCCACTCCTCCATTGGTCATTTCAGCTATTACCTGTACAACAACAACATTTTAATCCATAGAATCATACTCAAAATTAAAATTAGAAAAGGCATATAGAACAGAAATGTAATAAACTGTTATTGATGAACTAACTTGTTGAACAGGTTTTTCATGATCTTTCGGGTTTATGAAATCAGTTACCCCAAACTTCTTAGCTGCGAACAAGAAAATCATAAGAAATTCCTTTAATAAAAGAATAGTCATTGAATGTATGTTGACCTCAATCTCAAAGCATTTGATGGAAGATAAAAACAACGTACCTAATTCAAATCGGCTGGAGACTAAATCAACTCCAATGATTCTAGATGCACCAGAGATCCTTGCCCCTTCAGCAGCCTAAATTATGGTTTAAAGACAAGACCAGATGTTAATAATTTTGGCTCATTTCATTTCCAACCATAATTGCAGCATACACACATGCAGACAAAGGTACAAGAGCAACATACTGCGAGACCAACAACTCCAAGTCCAAAGATAGTCACAGAAGAACCTGTTTTTGGTTTTTCAACATTCACAGTAGCACCAAAACCTACACAGGCATAAATGCAAATTGGATTCAGCCTAGTTATATATTAATATCTCAAGTTCGAGATGTTGTATATATACACCTGTGCATACTCCACAACTGAGAATGCAAACTTTGTCAAGTGGCGAGTCATACCAGCATGGCGAATAGCAAAACCATATGGCAAAAGAACTTTAAGATCACTGCTTTTCACAAGTTGAGCTACTAGACAAATTAATAAATTTTAAACATGAATTTAGTATGATTGAAAATTTACATCACCATCTATCATATTATTATTTCAATTTTGAAAACTTTCAAATATTTAACAAAATATAGACGTGGTCCTTCGTAACCTTATCTTCCAAAATCCTCTATCCAAACATACACTTCATGTTTGGTTACTTATTCTATTCCTTATATCACTGCTATTATATTACCGGTCAACGCAGGCAAGGTTGTTACAGACATTGTCAATATACTAAAACCAATAGGCATCGTAACTTATAACAATGTGATTCTAACTTTTAATATTTGGTGGGTGATTTTAAAATTTGTAAATTGAGTATCCACTACGAGGAATGGAAAGAATTTGGAGTGTGTTGACAATTCATGTAAGAGGAAGAGACTTAGTTTCTAATTCAGTTCTTAAGGGTTGTCTCCATCTCGTGGATTTGGCTAGAAGTGAGAGAGTAGAGAAATCTGAGGCTGTTGGAGAGAGACTAAAGGAGGACCAACATATTAATAAATATCTTTCTGCACTTGGCGACGTTATCTCAGCTTTGGCGCAGAAGAGTCAACATATTCCTTACAGAAATAGCAAGCTTACACAAGTTTTACAAGATTCCTTAGGTAACCATGCAATCTGAATACTGATATTTTCTACTTTGAATTTACTTAATTTAACATTGTGTTTATTTTTTTTTCATACTAATAGGTGGTCATGCAAAGACTTTGATGTTTGTTCATATAAACCCTGAAGTCAATGCCTTTGAGGAGACAATTAGCACATTGAAGTTTGCTGAGAGGGTTGCATCTATTGAACTTGGAGCTGCTAAATCTAATAAAGAAACCGGTGAAATTCGAGAGCTAAAGGAAGAGGTGTGTTTTTCTATCATAATAATAACTAGAGCAATTTTCTAATGAACTCTACTAAATACCAGTTTAAACACTTTATAGATATCAAATATCAAATTGGCATTGGAGAGGAAGGAAACTGAAATGGAGCAGCTGAGATCTGGAAATGCACGGACTGCGACGGAATCTCAGAAATCAAGAGCTGTTTCACCTTTCCGTATGCCCAAATATAATACCAGTGGAGGCATGAAGCCTGAAACTAGTCAAAGATCCTTTGATGATAGAAGCTCCGAGGTTAGTGAATTTCTGTAAAAAAAAAACAATACTTAACTAGTACTAGTACATCATACTAACTAAGAAGCATTCACACAGACACGAACACCCTAACACATAGATACTAGTAGTAGTAACACGTATTAGACACTAGACACTAGACACGCTATGAATCTGAAGTGTCAGAGAAAAACATACTTTGTATTATCTAAATCTAACATTCTATTTTTCAGGCTAAAAACTATTCTTCGGGTAAGCAAAGAAGGTCGAGATTTCCCTCAACTTATATGGAAAAGGACTCCATACCGAGAATGTCTCTTCTTTTTAAAGAAAAGTCAGTTAGCTCAGGGAAGCACAATAGATCACCATCACCTCCAATCAGAAGATCAATTTCCACAGATAGAGGTTCTGTCACTAAAAGCAAGATCAAAATTGACAATATAGAAAATCAACCAATTTTAAAGCATCTAATTCCAGGCAGAGTACCTGTAAACAAATCTCTTGTTGCAATGACACCATCCACTGAACATAACTCAAATGTTTATCTGCATTCACAAGAGGCGGTGAAGCACGACAACATTTCTGAACCTGCATACTGTAAAACCAAATGAGAAGGAAATTTATTATTAATCACATCAAATATGGAAGTAGAATGCTAATATAGCTACCAAAAATATAAGTAAGAATATACTTGATTATCCGCAAAAGTCCCAATCTTGTCCCCGTAAGGATTCCCTGGTCTATGGAATGAAGGGTGGTCAACAAATACCTAAAAACAACAATGCAGTACAGAACTGATTATCATCAACCACACAGACACCAATTAGATGCTAAGATGCAAGAAATCAAATCCAAAAGTAGCAAATGAATAAGAGGTTCTTACCCAATCAACCCCTTCTCTATACTCATGGTAAAAGCCAACTTCTTGAGCGGCGCCAAAGCAAAATACGTTGATATTTCTATCAAGATCAACTGTACCACATAACTTTTTATCTAGGAGAGATAACCATAACACTCTCGTCTCCCATTGAAGCCAAACTCGCCGCTGCAACCTTATTAACCATCGGCGAAGCCTTTCTATCCTTCACTCTCCGGTGACAAAACCACATCTGTAACTGACGATCAAACAAACCCAACTTCACAGATAACTCAGCCCTCAACGCCTCAGATGGATAAAGCTCGGCTGAACCAAAAACACAAAAATGAACATTTCAACCCAAATTCAACTTCAAGTCAAAGAAACGCACAAAAAAATACCTACAATTTTACTCACTTACCAGCATATGCTTTTTCCAGAATCTCCAACTGTGAAGCAGACTTCATTTTGCGCTTGACCTTGTTCTCCTCTTCCAATAGCTTTTTCTCCTCTCCTCCTGAACAACCCTCCATAGCTGAAGCTAAAACTCACATTCACTCAAACCCTAACAAATTGAACCGTACAGAACAAAAACCCTTGCTCCCGAAAACCCCAAACCCACACTCAGAAACAATCCAAAAACCAAAAACACACAAAGAAGAAGAAAATAATCCCAGAGTAGCTAGAAGCGTGAATTTGAAGTTTATCTCTCTAACATTTGAGAGAGAGCAACTCTCTCTCTCAAAACTGGAACCGAAGGGAGTGTGATTGAGATGTGTGGTTAGGATTGGGATTAGGAGAAGGTCACAAATCAAATGAATTTTAGGGTTCTGATGACAGGTTTGGAGAAGGTTTTGGAGAAGAAGGAGTTCATTTGTTAAATGAAAGGTTTGTTGTGAAGAAGAAGGGTTTGTAGTGAGAGAAGGATTTGAATAAAACTTATTAGGTCAGGTGGACAATACCTGACTTACTAAATATGTTTTTAAGTCAGTTAGTGAACACACGCGACTTAAGAAATTTAATACGAATTATTATTATTTTTTAATTTTTTTTAAGTCAGTTCTAAATGTAATTGACCTAACAATATTACAAATATTTACGAAATTGCCACCGCATCACTTCTTAAGTCAGGTGGCAGGTGAACTGACTTAACAACCTCTACTATAAAGTGTTTTTCTACTAGTGACGCTGAGAAGAAAATAGCTTGCCATGAGACGACCCCGAGATGGCTTGCCCCAGAATATGGACCGTGAGAGGATCCTTGGTTTAAAAGTTCGGATAAGCTCTAGAGGTATAGAGAGGAACAATTCTTTTCCTCATAGGGTGGCATGCCCCATCCTTAAGATGGCTTTGTCCCTGATTGACTGATTCGTGGAGCAGTACCTCTAGCCGCGAGAGATTTGTCGAATCTCGACCTGATTGCCCCGTGTTAACCAATCCTTGGATGGCTGACCTTACCGGGGGTTATTTGATATAGCTGGCCATAACTCTACGGAGTATTCAGGCGTTCTATATTCTATCCTGATCAAACTTTCCACTATGGAAACTTTCCTGCGGTCGAGCGCTTACTCGCAAGTAAAACAAGTTGTTCTGCATAAAAGATACATTAAATGCAATGCATATGCCAGTTTTTTCAAAACCCAATCCTGTTCACTGGAAAAATTTATGACATATAATGAATGAATCAATTATCAAAGTGTCAAAATTAATACAACGCTGTAAGAGGAATCCTTTTTTTGAGTCAGTTTCAATGCGATCTTTACCAAAGTATGCTCTCGAACTAAACCTGTTTCAATTAGGACTTTTTCAGGTTGTAACGTGGCCAGGTTCACGGTTAACAAGGAAGGATATAAGGCTCAAAATTCATTTTAACCCACCCATTCTCCTTGATATTCTCCAATCCTACGTCCAACTAATTCGACACAAGCGCTCACCTCTTAACGGTGGAATGATAAGAGTGATGGTTCAGGAAACCACCTGCTTTTTGGAGTGACAGTCATTCACTTTCCGTCTTTATAGTGCCTGGAGTCACACAATTTCGTTTTTGTTTGAGGATTTTTTTCTTGTAATTTCGCTTTTTCGCTTTTTCGTTCCCTAATTTTTGCCTGGACTAACTCTTTTGAGTTTCTGATTTTGAAGTCCAGCGGGATACCCTAATTTTTGCCTAAGTCGCTTGTTCACAAGATTCAACTTAGCGGGCTTTTTCTTTTTTGATTTTTCTTTCTGAACAAATCATGTGACACCGACTTTTCTGACTTGTTAAAAGAGAGTATGACTGTTTCACTCCTTATCGGCGAGGTTTAACCATTGTGGTTCTTTAGGCACGACCTATACAGGTGTGATTTATCCTTGAGCGGATGCTCCTTTTGCAAATTGAACGCTTGGTCAAATTAACTGACACCTACCCTGCCCCAGGTTAAGATTGAGGGTTTTTCATTTTCAGAAAGAAACTCCTACTACAAGGCTCAAAGGGGTTGACAAGGGATTATCTTCCTTATATCTCCGGTGTTTATGGATTTGAAACAATGCCTGTATATCATCAACAAGTTTTTCTATCCAAGAGCATACAATCGGAAGCTTACACGTCATTCGATTTCGACATCCTCCCTGGATTCCACTTAAACAAGCGTTTGAAATAAAAGATAGCAATAAAGTGAACACGAATGGATTAATTCAAAACATGCATATTTATTTCATTTTCAATATCAATTGAGAAACAACAAGTTTTTACAAGTGAGAATTGCGCATAGACAGGAAAGAAACTACAAATGCAAAGAAATAACATGATAAAATTAAAATTGCCAGCTTCTAGGAACTGGGCTTTATCCATGAATCCAAGTCACGGTCGCTGTCTCCGTCTTCAACATCGGACACATCATTGATCTACTCAAACACGACTCCTCCTGGGGTGAACACAATCGGCCCCTTGAATCGAGGCGCGCTCTGTGATGACGATGCAGGACAGTATCCCAAACCGAACTTGTGTTGCTTGTTGGGGATGTCCAAAACTTGGCCCCAACCTTGTGCTGCCCCAGTCTGAACTACTGCCTGGGCTTCTTTGAACGACGACATTGCTACCTCCGGCGCTTTGCTCGTAGCTGGAGACTTATCTTTAACTCGAACCTCCTCGAAGGCCTGACACAGAGTCTCGTGGATCTCACCGTCCACTTCTATATACTTGAACGACGACAAATGGCTCACCAATATGTCATCCTCTCCGCACACGGTGACAATGCTACCACCGACCATATACTTCAGCTTTTGATGGAGTGTAGACGTTACAGCCCCCGCTGCATGAATCCAGGGCCGTCCCAGCAGACAACTGTAGGCGGCTGTATATCCATTATATAGAACACAATATTGAAAACTTCAGGTCCCACTTGGATGGGTAAGGTCAACTCTCCGAACACTGAACGGAGCGTCCCATCGAAAGCGCGCACCACCAGGTCACTAGGTGTACAAATGATACCTCGAGTATCCAGCTTCATTAGGGCTTTCTTGGGTAGAACATTCAGAGAAGATCTAATGTCAACCAACACATGGGACATGACTGTGCCCCTGCATTCAACCGAAATATGAAGTGCACTGTTATGATTACGGCCTTTAGGTGTCAGATCAAGATCCGTAAAGCCGAGCCCGTGCCCCGCATTCACATGGGCCATTACCCCTTCAAGTTGATTGACCGAGATCTCTTAGGGTACATAGGAGGTGTCAAGGATTTTCAGTAAGGCGTTCTTGTGGGCCTCAGAACACAGTAGTAATGACAATATAGAGATTTTAGACGGTGTTTGCTGCAAGTGCTCGACTATCTTATAGTCGCTTTTTCGGATTAATATCATGAATTCCTCCACGTCCTTCGTCAAAGACTCTTTCTCTTTCCCCTGAGGATTGCTTTCTACCGTAGCCTTATTCTTCCCTTTTGCATCTCTTTCAGCCTCTACTTCTGGTGACGCAAAGATTCTGCCGCTGCGGGTCATGCCAACTGTACCCACCAGATTATCCATTGAGTCTGCTGAAGAACTCTTCAACTCCACGTTCTCCCCTTTACAATAGACTTCTGCTCCATAATTCCACGGAACCGCTTTAGTACTCTCATATGGGACTGGTCCAGCTTTAGTTATGATGACGGTTGGCCTCTTGGGAGGCACTGGTATTGTGATTGTTTTATAAGGGATCGAAATCGTCGCAACTTCATCCCGCTCCTCTGTCACTTCCTCAACAGGTCTAACCTCTAAAGTGCAGTCAAACTGTAACGTTCCTTCGTCCATCAAAGTCTGAATATGTCTCTTCAAATCTTCGCACCCTTCAGGATGGTCCACACAATCGGCACAAGTTTCAGAACAACAAGGAAACACTCCCTCTTTCAGCAATTCTTTCTTCACTTGACCCAACAGAGTCTTCAACTCTTCACCCCCATCACAAGATTCAAGATTTTATCTTCCAGAATGGCAAACTCCTGCCGGTCCGTGATTCAGCATGGGGTTTTGCACAGCGTTGGGCGCTTCATGCGAGAAGTCTATGGCTTTACTGTCAATCAAATCTTGTAGCTTGTGCTTAAAAGCCTTACAATTGTCAATGTTGTGCCCGGGTGCCCCCGAGTGGAACTCGTAGCCAGGTGGTGGTCGGCCTGTCAGAGGGGCCAAGGTTCTCTTCTGGATTAACTGCAGTTGTAGTAGCGTCTGAAGCATCTGGGATTACGGCATTGGCGGCGTATCGAATACTCTATTTGCTCCCCTCGAATTCTGGTACTTCCTG